CAAATCAGACAGAGAAAAAGAATGTCCCCTGATAGGAAGTATCTATGTCCTGCTATAGCATTTCCCCTAATTTAGGTTGCATTATTGATGTACAGGACTCTGTACTTGAATAATGTAACAGTAAGACTCTCACAGAAAGCACTAGCACTGGCTTTAATGTGTGTCTATAAAGATAAGAAAAATGTATTTTAAAAGTCCAGCAGCTTTCAAACAATATATTTTCAAGTTACAGGAATGCTCACCACAAGGAATTTAAAACTGAGGTGAGAAGGGGGAGCAACATTTCTCCTAAAATGCTAATGAGCTACTGCCTTATAAAGTGAAAAAAAATCAACAAATCTGATGTATGAACAAACATTATGAATATTCAGGAAGTTTAAGCTGCTGATTCAAGGTTTTCTAGGAGTGGACAACTTTTGCACTGATCACACAAACCATTCTTTTTCTTCTCATCATGAGCACGCTCGACTGTGGTGTCGGTGTGCTGCCGGAACATATGCGTGGAATTGCAGGGATTGTAATTCATCCAGATGGCAGGAAGCTCTGGAATTGTTACTCCTATGCTACAGATGTTTAACAATCCAACCATATGGCTCCAATAAGGCAGCCTTGTCAAAGAGTACAAAAACTGCACTAGACACAGAGCCCTGTAAATGGGAACGCAGTCCTGAGGTGGGAATGTTCATATGGCTGCACTATAAATGCACACATCACACTGGGAAGCTGGCATGGCTATTGCAATTACAGAATTTATGAAACATTATTTAAACTCCTGAAAACAATCAGGCCTCATATTTGCATAATTTCCCCAAGTCAGCTATTAAAAGAACATTCCTCATTTGTTTTTGAAATTCATTAAAGGCATCAAACAAAGGTGAATTGAAAATCTGGGTAAATAAATACATGTTAATACAATAGTGTCCCCAGCCTCTGGCCTGAGGGAAATACCACTGCAGGTAAAAACTGAAATTCAACCAGTGAGACCAACAATTTCTCTAGAAAAAGATTTGTCAAAGTCAGGGAGCCCTGCTGATGCTTGTGACAATTGTAATGTGGAAAGCTGAATGTTGAGAAACAATCTGAGATCAATAATATCTTGGCCAAGAAAGGAAAGCACCATGAAATGGTCCATCTATAACTCTACTGAATTTTGGCAGGTTTGAAAGACAGATAAATGGCAGCAAATCAGATTGTTAAATCACTAATCCTGTCATTATTACATCCTGTCACATTGCATAGATTTAGACATTAGAAAAAGAGTGTAAGGTAGGAGAGTGAAGAAAACACTTAAAAGCTCAACTCAATCTGTGAAGAAAAGGTGAATTCCCAAATTTTGTTTCATGGTTGGTGCTTTTCTGCCCAAAAGTCAGCTGGCAGTAGCTGCTGCTCAGAGTCCCATCTACCTTCGCTCTGATGTCAGGTCTCTGACCCTTTGTTCCCCACAAGAAGTGTCTCCTCTGTACAAATCTGTTGTGCAAGAATAAGATTAAAATGGACAGACTGAACAAAGCATTGGTCTCTCAGACAAAAATGCATCCATTTAGCACACAGGGCATCTTTCCACCTGACATATTCTTAAAGGGAACTATTCAATTACCATCTCCTCACAGGCTAAAGAGCACAAAAGAGCCATGTAATATTCTTTTTCTCTTTTTTTTTTCTTAGCAGCAAAGTATTCAGAGCTGCTTTATCTACCACAGATACTAATCTAGGCAATATAATTTTAAAACATCCTTACAAAAACCTTGAAGGGCAGTTGAACCCTGTGGTTGTTTAAAAAAAGATTTTCTGCAGTTTATGCATTTGCTCTGCCAAAAGCTTACCTTAGCATACAAAGTACAGTAAATCATAGCTGCTCTGATTTACTGCCCAGACTGTGCTGTTTGTTTTCAGGGACAGCTCAGGGAAAGCTCTGTCAAGTGTAAGAGCATTCAGAGAAGGGGAATCGTTTTGCAAAGCTCCCACAATGGTAACAACATTTCTAAGATATCAGTGAAGGGGAAAAAAATGCAGATGTGCATTTGCAGCATTTTTCAGGGGGGATTCTTTGAATACCACTGCAACCCCAAAATATTTCAGGCCCTTTGGAGGCACAAAGACAATTTCATACCCCAAAACTGTTTAGCCTAAGCATTAATGGGCTGGCCAGTTGTATAATTTACCAGGCAAACAGTTAAATTATTGGACCTTGTGCCTGAATTCCACATTTTGTGGGGCAGCAGCACATACAAATGCCAAAAAGGCAAAGAAGACACCGGAGAAGTGGCAGAGCAAGAAGCTCTGGATCAATGTGATTATTTAGAACTGAGGGTAGATTTTATTAGAATTAATCTATTTAGTAAGCCCCAACATGAGGACAAAGATAAAACCATATATCTGACATCCTTTTGAAAGTTAGTAAATGAAAAGGGAGAAGATCAAAACAGTAGCTGAAAGCCTTCACTTCTGTTTTAAAATCCAAGAAACAGTCATTAATAGAGATTTAAACTCAGCCCTCTCTAGTCTAAACATGTCACTGTTAATTACAAAGCCATTTAACTTTTGCAAGAAATAAAGACTGCTATTAATGAAAGAAGAACCAATTAGCCTTTAATCTACACACTGTTTTTTAATCAAACTTTCTTTTGATCATCAGACTCACTGCAGGATGTATCCCTCCTCCCCATGTTGTAGTGGCTTCCATGGTTGCTAATGGAAAATGGATTTTAAAGGGCTGGCTGAGCAGGGAGAGCCCTCTCTGCAGGGCTGGAGCTTCCTCCCTTCCTGCCAGGGACAGCTCAGAAAAAGCTCAGAATGTGGAGTCCTGAACACTCTTGGAGCAGCTGCCTTTAGAGGAGCAGCACTGAATGTGTCTAGAGGAACGTGGGACAGGAGTACTGGACAACCTTGTTAGGAAACAGTAAAAAAAATACCAGTGTAAAGAGAAGTAAGAAATGGGATGGAAAAAGGCAAAAGCAGAGAAGTGCCTCCAGGAATGAAAATGGAATTCACTGCTGACTGCAAAGGATGATGAATGAGAGAATTTGCTTGCTGGCACAGGAACATATTGTGGAAAAACAAAACAAAACAAATGGGATCAGGGCTTGATGTGTTACAAACAAAGGGGTGACACAAAAAGGATCCCATTAGCAAAATATTGGGCTCCAAACTGTTGCTTGAGGGTGCGGAGAATTTCAAGGAGGTTTTCTGTTTGGTTTTGGTTTTTTTTTTTTTTTTGCTGTGTGGCTACTTGTAGTAGCAAAATAATATGTCCAAGCATCTGGAATCCATCATGATGGAGAACTTCTTCCCTGACATCATTTCCCCCTTGGCTGCTGTTGCTGCTCCGATCTCCGGGAAGGACAGAGAGCAGATGTCCCTGAGCACACACCAGGCTGATAATGGAATACAAAAACCTGACTCCTGCACATGTAAACAGCAGAGAGAGTGTAACTATTATCTGCTCTGTGTCAAACACGGGGCTCTTGGTCTGACCAGATACCTGCTGCCTGCTCTGCATTAGCAAAATTTCAGTGTATGCTGTTCTTTCTCCACCACAGAAAGATAAAATTTGCCTGGCAGCAGCAAAGCACGAAGTATTAATGATAACAAAAAAACCACTTCAAAACAAATGTTAATATCCTCAAAGAATCAGAATGTCTGGAAGATTTATTGTTGCGACAGTATGGTAATTTAAAAAAAAATTAAAAATAAAAAATCAATAGATTGCAGGGAAAAAAGTGATAATAAATATGCTTTGTGACAGAGAGGATTCTGAGTCATGAAATTCAAGACTGTAATAACAGTATGTGGAACAACTGCTGACATGGTATTGACACCTGAGATATTTGAAGGTAGGGACATACTTACCATAGGAAGGATTCCAGCAAAGACAATAGGTTGCAATGAATGTTTTTCAGGACTTGACTAACAGCATTTTGCACTTCAAAAGATCAACTTATTACACGTTCTGTAAAATAATTCTAATGCCTTATCTCAAAGGGCTGGTGATTTTTCACAGCCCAAACCCCTTGAATGGAACTGTTTGGCGTAAAGGTCACTGAAAATGAGATCAGGGTCCATTCATGGCTTTCAGCTGCTCATGTATTACAATATGAGTCCAACACAGGAACTCAGATAAAAACATCAACAGAGCAAAAAAGAAATAGCTGTAAAGCACAGTGTGAGATATTTGAAGTTAGCTGGATAATTGTATCATTTTCACATTTATTCCATGGTATTATAAACCTGTTAATAAAATTTGGATTCTGATGCTGATCAAAACCTCTTTGTGTTTTTCTGGTGTCATAATCTCACTACACAAGACCTAGACAAGAGGTCCCATCTCCACTCTCCTTTTGAGCACATGCAGAACACTCAGAAGGCTGCAATACTGAAAACATGTGACACTAATGTACAGGGTATTTTTAATTAACAAAGCTCTTAGGCGTTGCTGAAAGATCCATTTTGATTTTTGTCCCCTCTCTTATTGACCTAAAACACTTCAGAGCTCTGTATTTATTTATACAGTACAGCTGGGAGAAAGTTCTTCTGACATTTGAGAAGCTTTAAAAACTTAAATTGTTGACAGGAACCATTGTGGAAAAAAAAGAGAGATTTAAACTCATTTAACTCTTGAAGTAAGATCTTTCAAAGGTAAGAAGCAGAAACTTTACACTGCTGCTTAAATTATGTGGTAGTTTATTCCTGAGTGTTCTCAGTTCCCCTAATTCATTAACATTGGTGAATACTTGCATTAATTACTCCCCAAAGTAAGCCCTGATTCAAGAAGGCACTAAGGGACTTCATTAACTCCCTCCCTAATGACTTCAGCCAAATTTTCCCTACTTACTTGAGACGCACATATCCAAACCACCCCGAAATATTCCGTACCTGCAATTCTGCCTGCGATCAGCGCCAGCTGAAAGCCCTGAACATCAACCCTAATGCAACACAGCTTTAATTTATCTACAGCTGCTCCAACAGCCCTCTGAGCAGTGCCAGGGGCCGTGTGTACATACGTATGCAGTAGTCCCCACTCTCGTAGTAGCCGGGGCAGCACTGGGAGCGCCGGCGGTACATCGTGCGCAGCCCCCTGCGATAGGCGGTCTTGTAGCTGATCCTGCAGCAAGAGACACAAAACCACGGGACACTATTGAAAATCAATGCCTCCTGCTGCAATGATATTTGTGTTAAATTATAGTAAGGCTAGAATTCAATAATTATTTTTAAATGCATGAAAGCTTTTTGATAATAAACGCCGCAATAAGGGAGGAATCGATACTTGTTGTGAAGCTTGAAATATGACTCGTGTTATGAGCACAGTGCTCCTGACAGCCACTGGAGCTCTTCCTGGGGCAGCTGCTGTCTTAAAACATTTTCCCAGTCCTGCTGCAAGGGCAAGGAGTTTCTTCAAGAATAAATGATTTATTTTTGCACATCAGCAAGGTCAGATCTCATCAGTAGAAGGAACAGAGTCTTCTGCAGAGACCACTGTGTCAGCTGCTACACAAAACCTTTCCACAGTGGCAACTGCTCTCAATACACAGCTTGAGAAGTTAACCCCAAGTGATTTGTTCCTGCTTGCTACCACTTCCAAGGCACTCCTACCTTGCAAAGTGTCATTATAGTCCCAGTTCAGTATTTAAAGCCTGTTTTCCCAACCACAATACTACAGTCCACGGAAATTAAAAGGTGTTTAGCATTCTGAAGCATCCCTACATTTATTCATAGCATTAGCAGGGATACCATCATAGAAAGGTAATATTTAACTGCATATTTAACAGCAAACACTTCAAAACAGCTTTGCTAGTTTATGGAAATTACCTCAATTGAACAGAATCTATTGTCCCTCATGTTGGATAAACTGATCGAATTTACTCTGCTGCATTCCAATCTATACAATATTCCAGAAAGCTCTGCAGCTCTGTTCGCTTCCAAACACTCTAACACAGGAGCTAAAAAGCCAAGTGCCACAGTCCCACTGGGATGGTGCTGAACAGCCAACTTGCAACTGAATTCATGAGAGCTGAGATAAAAAAAGGCTTCTAAAACCCCCTGGAAAGATTGTGAATATTAGTGGATATTTATTAGGATACTTTGGAAGCAGAATGAATATAACAGAAATATCCTGCAGCCTGGGGAAAATTAACTCTTTAGTACAAATTTTCATTCAGTCCTAGAAGCAGACCCATGCTCATTTTACCTGATTTTCAGTGCAGATATGGGTGCACTAATTCTAACACAGATCCATTTCTAATTATCACTAACCCTCAAATGCCTGATTATTCACAATTTAGGAGGTGCATGGACTTCCTTTTACAAACCTGGACATGCACCCATCACTTAGAAAAGAAAGTTGGTCATGTCTGGTCAGGGAATAGACACTTCCAACAGACACTTCCAATCCCATGGCAGGGCCAGTGGAATGATACATTCTCCTGGATGTCCCCATGAGGGACTGACTATAACTTATCTCACTCAAACTTCAGGCAAAAATCTCTGTATTTCTACTCAATGCCCTGGAATTCCAAACACACATCTTTGTGTGCACATCTGCATCGGAGCACCACAAACATTTGGATAAACAAGAGGTGTGTGAGGAGATGAGAAGGCAGCAGGAAGCTCAGGTTTCTGAGGATGAGCTCTTACCTGTGCCTGGTGCACTTGAACCAGTTGAGGATGTCTGTGCATCGTGTGTAGTAGATCTGGTCAAAGGGGTGAGCGTAGGATTCCTGCACGGTCACGGCGTAGCTGAGGGGGGACAAGGAAAGAGGTCAGAGGCTGTGAAAAGCTGCAGTACCCTGTATCTGCTGTTCATGGAAGTCCAGTATGAAACATATTTACATCAGGAATCTTAGAAATTTGGGAATCAGCAAAGAGCAGAAAAGGGCTTCCTTCTGCTAGGCCTTTTCTGGTTTGGCTTCATGACTGATAAAGGCATAGAGATATCACTGTGATCAATAAACCATTCTCTTTTAGGGAAAAAAAACACATATAACTAAAAATCATGGAAATTTAAAAGGTGAAAAGTGAATGGATATGGGCAAAACCTGAGCAGTTTGGTGAGAAATCACAGAACTTCAACAATAGCAAGAACTGAGCAATCCTCCCAAAACACCACTTAGCCATGTAACAGCTTCTATGTTCATTATAGTTTGGGCCTCTCACATGATACAAGAACCCAAATCTCATGTTGGGGTCAGTTGTGGCAGAGCACTGCCCCACAGCAGGTGTGTGCACTGCTCAAGGGACTCCTCTCTCAGGTGCCGATCTGGACACAGCCCCACTTTATCAGACCTACAACATCTTTGGAGAACAATACACAAATTACCCTAGGCAGGTCAAGACCCAGGAATTAGATCCTCTAGGTCACTCATTATATGGATTGTCTTAGTTCTGCAGCTGATTTCCCTCTCATCAGCAGGACTGCAGATGTGATTAAGCCCTGGGAGATTGCACCCACAAGGCAATACCAAGATATTTGCTTGGAGGGGCTGACTGGCTTGAAATCGAAGATTGGGCTGTTCCTGCCCTCCTTGTCATGTCCCTTCTAGACAAGCCAAGGTTCCCCTGCTTTGCCCTCTGTCACTGTTTGCTGGGTTTGACAATAATGTTTTTACTTCTGCTAATGCCAAAATATAAAATATTTACATTGCTCATTATTAATGTAAGACAGTAACACTTGCAAATCTCAATTATTATTTTACGATCCCGTTTATTATCCAGAAATAGCCCTAACAATCTTTTCTCTTTGATTTATTAACATCTAACTAACAAAGTCATCTTGGTCAGTACAACCAATCAATTTTGGTATTTAATTTTTGTTTCTCCTTGATTGGGTCTCTAGGTTGCTGACTTTCTTCAGACAAAATCAATATTTTATTCCTGTGCTCTGAATGCACTTCCAGCACGCAGACTGCAAAATCCTTTTCCTGTACAGTTTTTGCTTTGCAGTTGCATTATCTACAATGAGTTAATTCTCTAATTAAGGCCTCAAAACATAGTCATTAAAGACGATTCTATTTTTACCTTTGTTAAAGGGTGTATTTTGCTGAAGTGTACAGCAATTCAGATTTGTGTGGAATTGAACTAGAGAGCAGGACTGGAAATTTAGCAAGTTAAACTGAGAAGTACAGGACCTTTAGCCTCTGCAAACAGCCCCTGTGTGAGTGTGAACCCATCAAAGGCTGTGGGTTTCTCTGTGCTCACAGGAACTGGCCTGCTCAGATCCACTTTTAGGACCAGGACACTGGAACAGGAGAGAGAACAAGAAATTCCAGGTCCTTTCATGTTCAGTGCTTTCATTCACTCTTTGATGCCGGCACGAATTTGGCAGGAAGAGCCCCAAAGTTCAGGCCAGACAAAACCAGCCAGGATGCTGCAGCAGGAAGAGCTTCAAAGTTTCTTGCTGGACAACAAGCAGAAAAAAGCAGGACAGAACAAGGCCAGCATTTCTGTGGGTCTCTCCATGATGGATGCAAACAACTCAGTGCACTCCTGTCCCTCAGACTCTGGAGGGGCTTCCCAAAGGGCACAGGGGGATGTGGTCAACAGCTGCAGCCTTAGAACCAATTCCTTGGGATGATCCAAACCCTCCCAGGCACCCCAAAGCACTGTTTCTGTAAAGCAAATCTCTTTTCTGAGACGTGGTGGTATTTAGCAAATTATGGCTCAGTTTGCCTTCTAAATGTAAAAATATTAAATGGATGATTAAAAAAAAAAAAAGAAAAAGGCAGGTTACACATTACCTTTCCCAGTGACTACAAACATTTGGATCATCTGGATTTAGGGACAGAGTGGTTTTGAGCAGGAAAGTCAGAATAAGCCCTCTTAGAATCCACTGGAACAGCACATGTGCCACCATTGTTGTACCTAGAGAAAGAGAAGAAAGTAGAGCCATTAGAGACAATTTTGAAGAAAATGTCCTTTTTGGCCTTTTCCTCCTTACTTTTGTGCAAATCCAAATACTGTGGAGCTATTCAGAAACTGAAATACTTGAAAAAGCAATCAACTAAACAGTAAAATGCTTTAAAAGTTCAAATCCATTCTAAAAGGAATTTATACATTTAAACCTAATAAAAGCAATGAATTTGATGATTAAGCCACCCAAGATATTGATAGCCCCAATGATTCTTCCAAAGAACATTTCTGATACTGATTATTTTTATGACAGGCTGTCTGTACTGACAAATAAATCACTGAGGTATTAAAGCAATCTATTCTTCCATCAACCTACAGGCAAGTGGGAGAATACCCAAATGCCCCCTTTGATTTATTTAAATGGGGTTTACAGGTGTCAATATGGGCTGGATGTGAGACTCGTGCTTATTGCATGATGGAAGGAAAATCAATGCCCTCCTCAAGCCCTGGATGGGGAACCACTGAGAATTACAGAGGTCAGTGAATTGGGGCATGTTACACAGAGCACTGAACATGAAATAAAAATATTTGCATTGAAGCTGGAAAGAGGTTGTACAAAACTCACTGGGTGTGGTCTCTTCATCACCTTCCTGTTCATCTGTTAAATGTACTGACTTACACCTGCTTAGGGCTTTGAAACCAAAGTTGTGGTGTTGGTCTAGAAGTCTCCAATGACACCAGTCAAAAATTTAAAGTAGATAGAAAATAAAATTGCTTTTTTGGTAACAGCATTAGAGGTGTTAATCTGTAAAACATTAAGTCAGGAAAAAGTATTTTTAAATATCCATTTCAGGCATTTACATGGACACATAATTCACCATTCAAATCAGAAGTCCTAGAAATTATTCCTGGCAACAAGATTGCCCTAAAAATAGATTGAATCTTCATATGATCATCAAAAAAAACACATGGCTCATTGCCTCAGGGTCCAGAACAGCAAAGGGATGTTAAGAGGCTTGCTCTGCAGGGCCCTGATATACAGCCCAGCATAAAGAAGCCATCACAAAGCAAATGAAGAGCCAGGAAACTGCTCAGAAATTACCTCCTGACCCAGAGCCTTCTTAGCCAGTTCAAGGACACCCATTGCCTTTAGTGGATTCAAGTCAAAATCCCAATGGGAGCAATAGCTCATCTTTTAAATTATTCCTAGAGCACTGCTAAACCCAAAGATAGGTCTTAAGCCATGTAAGTCATATTAATGTTAATTAACATGATTTAATGCTAATGCTCCTCATGAAATGGTTTTAAGTCAAGGAGTGACCATTTTTTACCTGTGGGCTTTTCCAAAGTCCCACAGCAACAATGCAAAAGCTTAGTCTGGAAATCCAGAGGGCTGACAAGGCGAGGATGTATTCATGGAAAAGCCACTGCCTGTCCCTGTCCTGGGCACTGCATCTCCATGGAGGAAAAGTGCCTGGAGGAGTTGAGCTGCCAAAAGTCCCAATGTTCCAACAGTCAGAGCTGTGGGAGAGCAGAGGTGAACATTCCCTGAGCACAGCATGGACAATGGATGTGAACAACCCAAGGATGAGGCTGCACAAACTGGCAGCCCTTTAACAAAAATCCCTCCCCAAAATGCCTTTATTTGTGACACTGGGCAGCACTGCAGTAATGCCAAAGCAAGGACATAAGTGTGTCTTGGCATTGTTGTAATTTACCTTCACCCTCCTTCTTCATCCTCGGCACCTTTGGTACAGGGCAGGGCTGAGCAAATGGGGCTAAAGGAAAGCTCCTTCTGATGGGCAGGTGTGGGCAAAGCTGCTCCAGGAAATGCAAATCCTCAGAGAGGGCTTAAATCTAAACATAGTTCTGTGCTCAGTTTGTTAACTTCTGGAGAACATCAACAGCCTGGGTCTGTGCTACATTAATTACAGGCAGAAAGGCAGCCTGACTTAAAATCAGTAATTCATTGCCTGCATTTGCTTTCCATCAGTTATCAGGAACTGAAAGGTAAATAATAATTAATTCAAGCTAGAAATCAAACTTCTCCCCCACTCCAATTTTTGATTCTTCGGTACTAACTGAAGCCAGTGCCCTTGAGTTCAGGAAAAAGCAAACTTTCAAGAAAGATTTGCTTAGAATACACCAGATGCTAAGAAAGAGGCTCTTAAGATCACTCATTCTTGCTGAAAATTACCCATTCTTTATATTGAATTTTATATCTCCTTTATATTAAAGTACTCCCAACAAAATAAAAATAAATGAGAATAGAGCCCTGCTGCCTCGCTCACTCTAAAGAGAATGAGGTCTAAAGCAGCCCCATATTTGAATTCTGTAGTTGTCAGAGACCTCAATTTGTTCCCAAGGAAATAATGCCTCAGTTTAGTTTTTAAATCAAACAAATGTCAAAGAATTATTTATAAGCCCTAATAGCACCCAGAATATTATTTTTTGCTTGCTGTGTATTAGAAAGAGGTTCCAGACTGTTTTCCAAACTTTTATTGCTAATGCTCTGTTATTATCTGTTTGTGAGGGAGCTGCTTTGTGTCATTAATTTCTTAACTTTGTAAGTCAGATCGAAGATCAGAACCATCCAACTCCCCAAATCAGCAGAACCTCATTCATCTCAAGTGTCTCTTTTTGTAACTCAAATGAAATATTTCACTTTGATCACTGTTAATAGAAAAGCCCTCACACCAAAATGGAATGGTTGCTATTAAAGGAGTCAGAATAAAACTCTAAAAATAGGAGCACACATATTAAAAACCAATATCAAAAAAGAATCCAGTAATGATATCTAATGCTGGGCTTTCAGCTTTCACTGCTCACCACAGCACACAGGAAATTCCTGCCTCAAATTCAGTGTTTGGGGCAGATTGTCCAAGGAGGCAGCACCAGCCTTGAGGGGGACAATGCCTGTACCTTCATTAAAGCTACAACCAAATTATTGCAACATTTCCAGTGTCTGCCACTCTCCCAGGACAGGCAGCCTGGGGCTGAACACCAAAATAAATGTCACAACGGTTGTCTGTGCAATCCCCACATGGACTCTGAACTTTTTGTGTCTCCAGGCCTGATTTTTCTTTTCAGAAGTGAAAGAAGTCAATTTAGGCAAAATTTGGGAAGAGTCTTTCAATCCAAAGGACAACCAGGTGGTTTTTCACAAGTGTCTCACTCTGGCAATTATAACTGATGAGGTATCTGCTACTCCTCAGGCCATTTTCTCCTATCTTCCTCCTTTTTGAAAAATTTCATATTTCACCTACAATACTGATACAAGTCAGTGGTTCCATCACAAAAGAAAGGAAAGCTCCAAATCTAGTAGGTGGCAAATCACTAATTTATTTGTCTGTGGAGTTGCTTTACAAAAAACCTTCTTTGAGGAAACTGTGCTGGGGTTTGCAAAGAGACCTTGAGATGCAGATGATCCTTTAAACTTCATGAACATCAAAGTGGGGAAAAAGCAGTACCCCTGAGAGTAGGACCTACCTGCAAAGGAAATAAGATCTCACAGAATCCTTGCTGGGTGAAATAAATATCCTATAAATCTTTTTCTAGACATTGAGGACTTGGTTTTGGTAATGTTCTTGTGAAAAGAAGACCAGTGTGTACTTTAAGTGGCCAAGGGAAAAAAAAAAAAAAGAAACCCAAAACTTACAGGTTCAATTTCTCCTCTGCTTCCATGTCTGACAGGCTAGAAAATCTAACTAAAAATGACCATTGAAGACTTTCCTGTTCAGGGCCTGAAGTGGTGAAACATTTCATTTTGACATCTCTGTCATAAAATATTTCATAACATGATTTTGACATGAAATTCAAAAAGAATTTCCAGCCCATGACAGAGTTCTAAATTGAATGTTTTTCCCTCAGTTTGGGATGAAGTGAGCTCTAAACCAAGCAAAAAATCCCCCAATTTTGTGTCTAGCTGTAAGCAGAGATGTCTTTCTCTAGCAAACACCTTTCTTAAATCCTTCTGAAGATCATAAAGTCTAAATGTTTATGCACTCAGTTAACCTAGGCTGAATTTTCCCCACAAAAATTTCCAAGTGACTCATTTAGCAAAGAGCATCTTACAAAGTCTTACCTTAAAGTACTAAGAATTCCCAGTGGATCCTGTTTTTACAGATCCCCAGCACATGGAGACACAGGGCACATCAACGGGAGAGTGGGAGAAAGCTCTTGGGAAGTCTCTTGGCCCTGTGGGCAATCAGGAAAAACAGAAAACTGGGTCACAGGAAATGTGTTTGGGGGTGTGGAAACAAATCAACGCAGAAATGGGACAAAACATTCCAAATAATTAGATAACAGAACATAATTGTGCTATTTCAGACCAATCCCACTATCCTGCTCTCAGGCAAGAGCAGGGAACTCAGAAAGAGTGGAAGAACACGGGGGATGTAACACATCCCTCTTTTACAGCCTCCCAGCCTCCAGAAATTTGTTTCCTGTCATTTCTTACCTAATTTTGTTCTCATATAGACTTTTCCTTCTTTAATATCCCAACAAGAAAGTCCAGTTTCTTTCAGGAATTTTGATGTGAGACCTTGCAAAAGCCTTCTGGAAATCTAACTGCAATTTCTTGATGCTCATGTTTACTTTGAAGAGCTTTCACAGGTTAAGAAGGCTTTACAAAGCCATGTTGATTCTTCAAAAATGTATTACATGCATCAAGATAAATAATTCTGTTAACTCTCATTCCTACCAAACAGGAAAATGAGGTGCGCCAAAATGAAAATGAATCCTAGTATTTGTGTGGGAGCAATTGAGGAAAATGCAAGAGAGTGGTTGAGCCAGGAAACAAAAAGTTGGATTTCTCTGGAGAAGCATTAAAGTGACGGAGTGTTTGCTGATTACACTATTTTAGTCTCTAAGTAGTAGCAAGCTTCCAACAAGCTGCCCTTGGTGGCATTCCTTCTTCTCATCCCATCTGAAATTTTCATGATAGTTTAGGCAAGGGATCATTTAAACACACACTTCATTTGGCTCCACATCAGA